ATAACGTTAGTGACAATAGGTAATATGTAATAGATATATAAGACATATCTTCGTAGGTAGTTGAAAATGCTGTTCATAAAACAGTAAAAGTCCCAAGAGAGACACTTATGAAAACAAAAGAAACCAATACAGAGGTGGACATTCTTCCATTTGTTTGTACATACAATTCTAACAACTGTACAAGTATGCCCATTATAAAAACAAATCTTCCAATTTTGTATAAAAGTGATGCTATGATAAAAAGTTTATCAGTCAGTGTAACAACATTTTAAACGCTTCGATGCGGAACTTGTTCAATCATAACTGAAGACTGCAAATTTACATTTTGTGAAGGCAAACTATTTACTATCAAAACCAACATGAACTGCCACAGCAAAAATCTTATATATGCTTTATTTGTTTTGTGTTGGGCAAATCCATTAAGCAGACGCAGGTGACAGCAGGTAGTTAATCTGTGAACTGGACCATAACATGTGTTGTTTTAAGCTGTAGTTCTTGTGGGGTGTAGTTCTTATGAAAGGACACCAACTTCGCCCGCCCAGTTTTGACTTAATGGAAATTATGTTAAACCGTGTTAATTATGCCTTGCTAAAACTATATATTTTTGTTATTTCGACCTTAAGCGAACTGTAATCAATTCACTCCAGCCAGACACCATGCGCTTATGAAGTCGGCCACTGATCAGCTGTTGAAATGTATCATGGAGTTATCTCCCTTAGACCATAGACTGACAGAATTACATTGAGTGACAGCAAGACCCAACAGACCACGTGTAGGTCATAGATCTATCTATCCATCCATCCATCCATCCATCCATCCATCTATCTTTCTATCTATCTATCTTTGAAAGATTGATAGATACATACAGACACATGTAAGCTAATATTTCGTAATTGCATGTTGACTTTTCACTTTATATTAGCCACAGGAACCTTCCGCAAGCGTGGAACCTTTGGTTATTCTTGTTAGTGTTTGGACTGACGCCAGTCAGTTTCAGTTAGTTTCTGAATGTTTTCTCGGTTAGAGTTTGTAGTTTGGGTGGTTTATATTCGCCTTTATTGAAGGCTGTGGAAAGATCGAGGGTAGATTCTGTCGTACATGCGCTCGTCAACTCGAAATCTTGACGAAAATCCACATATCCTAATAACATCATTTGAAACATCGTAATTTATGTCAAAAACAGTTTCAATGTTACCCAAAGGAAGCTTGCCGTCGATGTGACTTGCATGACTAAGATGTAGCAGACGACAGACACTGTGGTTGGTTAAATGTGTTTAGTTGTTAAAGATAGGCGTCTTCTAGTGTGTAAAATGTACTTCAAGCGATGGAATACTAATGTGTGTGACATGAAAAGGAAAGGAGAAAAGATCAACTGAAGTTCCCATTAATCTACCAAGCTTGTACTGGATGCTATGCTGGACATTAGGAAACACGATCTCGTGTCTGAAATAGTCCGCTAGAGGGCGTCACCTATGTTTCCTTGGAAACACAAATGCAAAACACAAATGTTTTACACAGGTCAAATCACTTTCACCTCATTTACTACATAAAGATGACACTACCATCCCGCCACAACATTCTATACCTGACTTGCTCCAGTTTCCTGCCGTGAACCAGGTCACACTGGGTGAGTGTGATCTACTTCCTGGTCTATTTACAGTATCGGTGTAATCACACACACGACTCATACACTGTACAGACATAATGTAAATAGTGGTTGTCCAACACATTAGTCGTGGTGCTGTTGTTACCCACAGAGGCATTTCCCAACATGTTCGCCAAGGTGTAGAGTGACATGGCTGTCGTGAAAGTTATATACATGTACTATATGTACATGTAGAATATATACTGAACAGCAAAAGAAACGCAAATTTCGAAAAAATGAAATCTCATTAATGTAAGCGTTCATATTTATGGAACGTTCATGGTAAAGTGACGTAATGATTCAACATGAGGTGATGCACCCTCAACGTTGGCAACGTGTGCAGTGGCGTCGAGTTGTCTTTTTCATGCTGTTTACGTGTTTGGCATCGGCGTAATGAGCGTTACACTGATTGGTGTGTCAAACAGGCTAACAGATGGGGTGGTGACAGTGTGATAGTTTGGGGAGCATTCAGTTACAACCACAGGTCCCAGTTTCACGTCTTCCGACATCACGTAACTGATGTGGGGTACAGGGATCATGTTCTTCATCCTCATGTTGTGCCCATGTTGGCTGTACATCCCCAATTACAGCTCTTCCAACAGGACAACGCACGTCCTCACACAGCAAGGGTGTCGATGGAATATCTAGCTCTGAACAACATGAACGTTCTTCAATGGACGTCTCTTTTCCCGGATATGGCTCCCATTGAACATGTTTGGGACGAAATAAGATTTCTGCAGGTAGACAGCCACTCACACTTGCATAGTTGGAACAGATATTGGTATTCGGGTGGAACCACTTGCCTCAGGCATTCTTTCAATGAGGTGACGTTGCACGACGTGTGTGAAAGCTCAAGGGGCCACATTCGCTACTATAGAGACTGTCACTTTTTGCGGTCAGGGGTATGACCATTTGACGGACTTTCATTAATTTGAACTTATTGCAATGCAATATAAACAGCAACTTTCAGATGTTAAACTGACAGTGTTTTCTATGGAATAAGTGATTGGATATAATTTTGTTTGTCTTAATTCTATTCAGAAACGTAACAAAAAGCCAGACTTGCATTTCTTCTGTTGTTAAGCACCTCATGTGTCATCAAATGAAGATGTTTGCCAGCGTATGATACTTATGGGCGCAAACATGTATAGATCTTTCATGTACTTGCCTTCAGGGACGGAGAAGCACGCTCAAACCCTTATCCTAGCACAACAGTAAGGGAACAGTCATGTGAGTGATGTAAGTGTGAATAAGCAGTTGAGGGGATCAGGATTTCTGCAGTAGATTTCATCATTAATTGTCAAAGATCTGTGTTATTACAGTGAGCTGGTGAGTGAGCCAGTGAATTAGTAAGTGAGTGTGAGTGAGTGAAAACAAAAGAACATTCAGTCATGCAACTGATGCTGGGTAAGGGACATTGTAGTCAGCATTACGGTGGGTAAGTTAAACTGTTATTATAGCTACAAGCACCAAAGGCCCGCCCACCCTTGGCTGCATCCAGCTAGGCATCCTTGGAATTTGTTTCAAACGCCTTCTTCTACCTTCCCTCTGTATGCAGGCACCGCGTTGTTCCTCAGCTTGAACGTAAAGAAGTGACTTCCAGTTACGACCCTGGACTCCTTACTTCCTTTATCTTCCCTCTGTAGGCTGACACGGTATTATTCCTGAGCTTGACCCTAAAGAATAGACTTTTAATTGCCCTTGACGCCGGCCGTTCACACCGCTGGTCGACGGGAAGACCTAGTATACTCGGAACCAGGTCCTGCGGAGCAGTTTACAAGTGTATGTCATTCTGGACTACATGAAGGAATACACCTTTAAAACTTGCATCAAGACCATCCACCCCTTCTTTCATCAGAGCGACAATAGCCTGTCCAATCTTGCTCATAGATGTGTAAATGACGTGTATCAGGATAACAAAGTCGCCTGGCCAGGGATGATAGTCAGTTGTTTCTCTCTCTTCACATCCAGGTGGAGCAAGCCTAAAACTGTACCTCCCACGGCTCCGTTTGATAAGCCTGTTCCTGGCAGAGATACCATCTACCCTGAAACAGAAAAAAGGTCAATACATTTGGTTGGGGTGAAAAGTATGGTGATCATAGCTTCAACGAAGTTTTAAAGTCTTCCGGCAATGTTTCCTTGCCGAGCTCTGATGTGCCGATCTGACTACTAGTTGCATAGCTAGAGATGCATTTCCATGGGCTTTTTAATATACTATATATTTTGAAATTCGGATGATGGATGTACACTTAAGTAATACCTGTTACAACATTTGACGAAAGACTGTCCCTCGTTGAAAGTTCAGTGTATTTGAACACGTGTTGAGCGTATGATTTCGTTGTCCAAACCGCATTTTAAAAGGCTCTCTAGAAACACAAATATTTTAAACACAGAGTGTCTCCTCATCTTTCCGACAATGCATATCATGCATAGGTGTGGCACAGGGCAACGTTCCAAAATGGAATGGTCCAACGGCAGTAGGGGCCCTTCACATTATGTTAGTTGCCCGCAGTTGTTGGCGCAAGACGCATGGCGGGTTTTTGTAAATTCTGTCAGCAATATAACGGCCCTTCGAGCGGCATCCATAAGGCTTTCAATAGCGCACTTTATCTATGAATGTTTTAAGAAGATATACCGTCAATCACTTTTCTGGTGTTATTGAAAAAGTACTACAACTCAAAATGACCAAACACAAGTTGGGTAAAAGGACATCTTGGCGTTTCAGTCATGCCTTGTAACCGGACGCAACAGAGTATTTTCGTTTGGGGATTCATATGTGGAAAGAACTTTTCATCAGTTACCGGCAATGAATAGTATGCATTGGTGCGACAGGGAACAAAGTTCCAAACAGTAATGGCACAGATGCCACAAGTGGAAGACATTCAGAAAACAAAATGCGGCCTGATTACCCAAAGTTGGAGGTAGATGGAAAGTAAGGAACAATTTATTTTCAGTGCCCTCCTGATCAGCCATCCAACACCGTATAGCATGTTACTCAGTCTTAACATACGCACATGCGATACAGAGCTGAATAGCTATCGATCAGTTAAGGTACAAATTATGTAGTGGTATATATGTGTATGAATACGTATATATCTGTATGAATACGAATAAATGTGTATGGATACGTATAAATGTGTATGAATACGTATATATCTGTATGCATCCGCATATATGTGTATGAATACGTATAAATGTGTATGAATACGTATCAGTGGACAGATTGTTTCATTACTACCACAACAATACATCACATCGATACGACTTCCCCAACGCACACAGGTGTTCTATTTAAAGAAGTAAGGGGGTACTGAAAAACTAGTAAGACCGGTACTTAAGTTTTGTGACTCATTTGAGACCAAAGGTCATGGACTGAGTTACGACAATGGATTTATCTGTACACAAAGCTTCTCCCACTGGCTGTCAGCTCCGAACTATGTAAGAAAGTAAAATTATTGATCCTTGACGTTACCTGTTGTGTATAGAAATAACGTTTCACATCCTGGTCATGTTGTACACACAAGGTAATACTACTGTACGATACTGGCCATGTATGTATATGTCGAACTTGTGTCGACATACATGCTGTGTTTTGTTGCAACCAGTTGAAGGTAAAGTACTGCTAGCGCCTCCTATTCCCAGGTATACAAGTCTATCTAAGACATCACACTATGGAAAGGAAGGATATATAGGAAGACATACATTTGGACGTGTAACGCTATAATGAAGATCTGGCACACACTGGTCTTTGTGTGGGATAGGCGTTATACATGGAGCTCTGCAAGTCAATAGTGAGTATGAGTGTCAATACTGTTGAAATGACTAACAACTCACAAATAAAACTTCGATACTTACACATACAAACTGTTATTCCGTTTTCAATGGAATTCACTGAACTTCCCATGAGTGAGTGAGTGAGTCAGTTTAGTTTTACGCCGCACTCAGCAATATTCCAGCTATATGGCGGCGGTCTGTAAATAATCGAGTCTGGTCCAGACAATCATGTGATCAACACCATGATTGGGAACCGATGACATGTGTCAACCAAGTCAGCGAGCCTGACAACCCGATCCCGTTAGTCGCCTCTTACGACAAGCATAGTCGCCTTTTGTGGCAAGCATAGGTTGCTGAAGACCTATTCTACCCCAGATCTGCCCGGGTCACTTCCCATGAAACACAACTTCGTTTATGGTATATGTAATTGACCCTACTTGATCACCGTTTCCTCGTCAGGCCTAAGCACCCGGGTTTTATCCCCTACATGAATACAAGGACTACAACGTGAGACTGTCACGGGTGCCCCCAGCAGTGGTGTTGCTGGCATTTTGCTCAACATCATTATACCAACTCACTCATTTACTTCCATTGTGGACCCGTGAAGATCCGGGTTAGTATTGGTCTTCAGCAACCCATGCTTGTCGTAAGAGGCGATCGGATGGTCAGGCTTGTTGACTTAGTTGACACATATCATCGTATCAGAATTGCGTAGATCTATGCTCATAATCTATGCTCTTGATGTACTCTCGATGTTTGTTTATGTTCCCTAAGCCCATGTCCCCGTCGAGACCAGTAAACAACTTATAATGTAACAGGGTACACGTTGTTCCCTTATTAGAATGACACTACAGCAGGAAGGTCTACATGGACATATCATGAACGGTCTGATACAAACCCATTCGATAAACACAATCAGATACATATGCGAATGAGGTCAACTCATGAATGTGTTTTATATTCACCTAAGTCCAGCATTATTCATATTTTACATGTAACTGGCGTTGGGGACTTGACACTGTTGCACAGACCTGCCTTTATAACTCGGTGAGAGATTTGCCTTGAGAACACATGCTGAAACCAGTTCAGGAGTTTTATTAATTTATCTGAAACAGATGTAACGTTACTCATATTCGGGCGTAGTGGCCTTCATAAGCATGTCATCCACAACATGGTTCTAGGTCAATGGGTCAGGGTACAATACCATACACGGATTTATTGCACTATGTTGGTAATATAGGTTCCACAGTTGTAATGATGAAGTGTGTCAATATATTAATTATATCTATGTGTCATTCACAAATGAAACCCACATCAGAACTATGTCAGTCAGAATAGTGACTTGTGAATAGTGTGACGTTTGATAAACGTAACTGAGGGGATGACACATGGCAACCACCACAGCATACAGGAAACCATGTGCGTGAAACTTGAATGATGATTATTTTTGTTTCTGTAGGTGAATTGGTACTGACGAGCTCACCAGTAACAGCGACAGATGGAGAGCCCTTCACCTTGATCTGTAGCGGCTCATTTGGTTCTGTAACAAACATAGCATGGTTGCAGAACAATACATCAAAGGTCATTACGCAACATAGCAACAGTTGTACTAAGCAACCACCCCTGATGGGGAATAATAACATCAACCGTTTCAGTGTGAGCTGCAATGACACGGTCCACAGTATACAGTTTAGGTTCAACTCCACTACAGACCAGGGAGGATGGCAGTGCGGGAAGCTTGTAAACATCAACCACATATACCCGAGAAGCAACATTCAAAGTGTAGGTGGGTATGACCTATTCACTGTGTTTCATTATATATTTGTCACAATACAGTAAATTGTAACCAATGTAATCATTTATAGGCATAAATAGATTTAATAGAACACGTAAAGCTGATGTCAGTGACAGACAGTGCTGTTTGAAAACAAACGACATGCTGAGTAAGGATTAACGCATTATCGAAGTAATCTTTGCTGAAATATATTGCTTATATGGAACCTGAGCCGTTTTAATTTCACTGTGAATAAAAAAAAGATATCTAAAATAATACGATCTACTGAAATGAATGGCTATGTTCTACTAGCCAGACTACAAACTAGCATACTCATTATACACATATATCAACACTCGTTACACAATGACCAATCTCCTTTCAGGTGTTGCAAGTCCTGTCATGTCAACTCAGTCTTCATCAACAACGACCCGGTATACGGAGACTACCGCAGAATCTGGGACAGTGACATCACAGAACGGTAGTTCGCTGTGAGATGTACATATCGTACTCAGAATGCTGATAATCGCAAGTTATTAGTGGCATGATGTAAATCCTACAGGTAGCAAAGGATGAAGAGGAGTTCACCCTATTTGGTCTGGGGATGTAGGGGGTCATCAATTTTGTACACATGTACTGATCCGCAATGAACAATGACAAGTGCATTCCTACCTCGTATTGTGACGTCATATCTACACTAGCGTCATCACTGCAATAAATAGGATGATTTTGTTACCATTTGCTAAAAGTAATTACACTTCCGTCCCGAATCTCTTTGATTTAAGTTATAGATTATCCTTTTATCAATCCTTAGCTAAATCCTTTTCTAAATATGAAAATACCAACAAGGACAAGTTTATGCAAAAGAAATGGTGTTTAACATCAATAATGATTAAGATATTATGCATAATTTTTTTGTTTTCATTTGTTTAATATCCAAAAAAGAAACGCATAGGCGATTTGTGTTTTTAAAAACTATTAATTACCTATTGTGTTCAAACAATCGTTAAAATATGTTACAGAAGTGTTCATAACATGATTTTACACAATAGCACAAGTAAAATATCGATTTTACCTGAAAACGTTGATTTTGATGAGATTTCTTGCAAGGATCAAAATAGCATCGCCACAACGCAACATAAATCACCTTCTAGTTGAAATGGTGCAGCAACGAGCATGCACTGTCTGGCAATAAAAGTCCAGTTTACTTTCGGAAACTGGCATTCGTTTTGAAGGAGTTTCAAGGTCAAATCACTACGCCTTGTCTGTACTCTGCGACAAGGAACATCGCCATTGAAAGAATGCACGCTGGACATTACCAATCTTCTGTTGCCAGGCGTCTGAATGTTAGTCTGAGCACGATATCACGGCTTGCAGCTCGTTACAACCAAACAGGTATGACAAATGACCGTCCCCGTACAGGCAGACCTCGAGTCACAACTACAGCCTAAGATCGGTACATCCGGGTACTACATTTGCGTGATCGTAGTGCCACGGGTGAGAGCACAGCAGCCAGGGTGCCTGGACTTCGGAGGATATCCGGTCAAACTGTACGGCACAGGTTGAAAGAGATTGGTCTGACAGCCAGGAGACCCGACGTCGGGACCGTGCTACGCCATCACCATCGCGCTCAACGTCCCCGTTATCTAAAAGTATCCACTTGGTTGTATAGACATTACCTTCTTCTTAACTGGTGTTAAAATTCATGCACTAAAATCTAGTTGTGGACGAGTTATACATATTTGAAAATACAACATTTTCGCAACAGATTTCTGGCCTATGCGTTTCATTTTTGGGATAGTATATTTGATCTATTTGGAACGTGGATCTTTTCCAATTTCTCTGTGTATCTAAGAAACTATTTCAAATAATAAGATCTGCTGAGAGGAATGGCTTTGTTCTGCAAGCCTCATGTATAAGAAGTAGGCTCATCATATACACAGAGATCAACACTCGTCTCTCAGTAAGGAGGAACATGCACACCATGAACTCAGTGAGCGATCTACTTTCAGATGGTGTAAGTCTTGTCACGTCAACTCAGTCAACTCAGTCTTTACCAACAACGACCTGGTATACGGAGACTACGATCGAACCTGGAACAGTGACACCACAGAAAGGTAATTCTCTCTGTGAGTTCCTGTTCCACTGGTGAAATAATTAAGGAACATGCGTCACTGAGTTTAGAAAATGAATTTCCTTCTTTTGCCCTGACATTCAGGACGATTGTCAGACTGTGTTCATTTATTAGTGCAATATCTATTATAAGCTATTAACCATCAGCAATGGAGAAAAAAAGCTCAAAAACAAGGACCTCATCTGAACCTGTGGCAATGAAGTCACAGAAAGGTAGTTTTTTTTCATTCCGCACTCAGGGTATTTACAGGGAAATCCAAGACTGACCACTTGAACATTAACAACGTATGATCATAGTCGGACTTAACGTGTGACATAACGTTATCATACACATATTTATCAATCACCATACGATATAGTTTACAAGAACATGAAAAGCTAACATGGAATTCGAAAATCTATAGAAAGATGTAAGTTGTATTAAGATTGTATCACTCCATACATGTATGTTTATTAAGGAATCTGTGAAGTACTGTATGTCATATAAGACGTAAATCAATTGATTATTCCCATTATTCACGGAATACTTACAAAATCAGTTGATTGGAGCTGCGCCGCAATGGCAGCAACAGTCTAACCGAGTAGCGTCATCACTGGAATGTCATGAAAGGATGAAATATGTAACTGTGATTTTTAAATGTTTGCTAAAATAAATCACACAACTATATAGGCCTTGGTGTGGTAAGAATGTACAATGCCATTTAGAAGGTGGTCAAATGTAACATGTCATATCAGGGATTACACTTTCTCAATAAAGCACAGCTACCGCGGGGTACACAGACTACCGGTTGTTCGTCTTCCATGTTTGTGGAAGCCATGGTGGCTGAGTAGGTTATACGGTTGACTTTTGTGTGCTGGCGATTAGGTGCCTGACTCTGAATCCGTGGGTTCGAGTCTCGGATGGGACTCAACCCAACAGAGGTACTAGAATCTGTACTTTACTAAGAAAATGTAATCCGAAATATAACATGTTACATTCGTGTTGTAAGTTCATAACGACCGTTTGTCTATTCGTAGTTACAATGGTTTTAAAGCACAAACACCATTAAATACACGTGTGTAGAGAGGGCAAGTATGTTCATATTTCGGAGGAATGCCATATGATGTATATAGCACTTTTTTCAATAATCTGGTATAGCCAATCCTTTCATATGACTCGGTTATTTTTTTGGAATCGAGAATACAGTTGTATAAATGCTGTGTAAAATAAAGCATCCTTGGGGGTTGGAAAATAAAGGCATCCCCCATGCAGAAAATAGAAGTCTTCCGATTTTTGAGAAAGATTGGCCAAAGACATGTTGCACAAATACGAACTTGGTCTTATGCCTTTCGAAAGTCTTGGGTTAGGACGGTTAGTACCATGTTTACCTCTCTAGGACTCCCTTCTATAGACATTTATAATATATAATTTCTCTTCCGGTGAATTTCACATAATCATACGTACATTGAGAGTTAATGACGCCGAATGTTGGTTATGGGATCTTTGAAAATAAGCTGAGGACTTTTGTACTCTTTAAGAATTCACTAAGTATGTCGACTTATGTCCGTTCGGTCTTAGACAGACAACAACGTAGCATCTTGGCTAAGCTTTGCTGCAGTCCTCTCCCCTTAGAAATTGAGGTTGGCAGGTGCTCCCGCACCAACTGAATGTCAATAATATTCAGAGCTACGATATGATTTTCCACAGCCCGCTTTTCCAGCATTGTTTTACCGTCAGAAACCTCCCCGCAGAGGAACAATTTAAAAAACATTATGCAACATGATAGTTTAGCTATATGCTATAATTGATAAGAGGAGAAGTTTCAACTTGCATTATAATCCTTATAATTGCTTTTTTCATACCTACTGATACCTCGATACCTCGTGTCTCATAAGCCTACTGGCAGGGTGGTATCTAGTTTAATATGTCCTGTCTGTATGTTCATATGTTTGTATACCGCGTGACACGCACATTAAATATTTACTTACTTACCTTACATACTATAAGCCCCAATAGTGCAATGCTTACTTGGCGCTGTAGTTAACAAGTGTGTCGCGCAAGCCACCTCCTTTGTCTCAATTTGACATGCGTGCAGACATGACTTCAATCTCTTATAGAGGATACCCATTCAGTCACAGGGTGAGTGGTAGTAGTATATGTGTCATCAGCTATGAATCATACATAGTGGATAACAAATACAGGGGTCGTGTGTATATATGCGGATGTAAATCAAGACGTGTTTGTTTGAACAATGTAGGGAGTGTATGTTTTTCTGGCTTGCTATACGATTATCTAAACCATATATGTTTTAATAAATATCTAAAACTACTCAGTGTTTGTAGTTCAGTCACGCCGAGTAATATTCCGAGCTTAAGTATGGCGTTGTCAATATTGTCTGTCCGACCCACACAAAGTCACTCGAATCAAGTCACCGACTCCATTTGGTCGTCTGTCACAGCCAGCATTACAGGCTTGGGCTCTCTTCTAAACCAACAGCAGCCTCTAACAGATTTAGATTCCAACTTCATCTACTTAATTATAATTGATGTATTCTCTGTGGCGTATTGCTAGCTGTTCAATCCGCACTGTGTGTAACTGATCGAGTCACACGAGATAAACGATGATATGGGTGAAATGCATTCTCGTGTTTTTTTAGGCTTTGATCGCAAATTCGCACCGATCTATATTCTTTGGATGTACTATCAAAGATTTTACTGAGGCGTCACAACAAGCGACTTCTTTCTGCATAATGCATTAAAACAAACGTGTTCAATAACTTTTCGACACATTCCTCAATTTGCCACCCCTAACGTGTCAAGCCGTGTCCTCTGTATTCTAGACTAACCAGGATGTTATTTTAAAGTCCTTTACTGTACACTCGCATACATCTGGACATACAGCACACATGTAACCTCTCGGTCTTAACACACTACGTCTGAATATATCCTGAACCAGCTATGACGCTGTATTTCAGTCTCTACAGATGACGGTGATTCAGACACCATCTACATCGTGGTTGGTGCTGTAGGTGGAGCTGTTCTGCTTGCCGTCGTTGTCGTGGGCATCGTGTGTATACGACGGAGAGGACAAGCAGCCCGTGTGTATTTGTGATGGGATTTAACATAATTCTTATTAAACCTTTGACATTAATTATGTAAAATAACTTCAATCGTATATTATTTTATAGACAGTTGAACCATTTGCAATACATTGAAATAGTTCCACCTTCCAAATTTATTACGTTTGTCATGGGAAGCGGTTAATAGCAGAATAGGACATTAAGACTGTAACCTGACCCCGAAAATGTTTCTTCCAGATCATCAAAATGACATGAAAGAAGAAAGCAATTTTGAAGCGTAACTGTAACTCACAGTACCGAACAGTATAAACCCACGCATTCACAGACACACACAGAGTCATGTGCAGAAGGTATCATCACCTTAGTTCTGACGCGCACATTCAAGACGTGCAAGTAGACACACCCACACATACACAGGCAAACATATGACGCTAACATGCACACCGAAACGAACACACACACACACACACACACACACACACATACGCAATATGTACATTAATTCATGAGTTCATTCATTCATTCATGCATACGCACACACACGCACACACACTCAAACTCATTAACACCTCATCATCCCCTGTTCTGCTATCAACGTTACTTCTTTCTTTTCAGCGGGCCTGTTCCACACGGGTATGTCTTTTTAATCATCGTATTGTCATTAACGTTAAAAGAATTGAGTTCAGACATAGGCACTTTGAGCAGGTGAGTTTTAACTTTTGACCAGTTTATCACATAACACTACAGGTAAAGAGTTCCAAAGAGTTGGTGCGACATAGGAGAAAGCCCTTTTCCCATACGAAACTAGGTGGAATTTGGGAGCTTTTAGTAGGTGCTGATTCTGGGACCGGAGTGATCTTGATGGAATGTATTCTGTGATGAGTTCGGTGAGATATTCTGGAGCTTGATTGTGGAGACAGCTGAAAGTGATTTCTGTAGTCTTGAGATATTGTGTTTGCTGAGGCCGATCAACAGTCCATTGCAGTAGTCTAGTCTGGATAGCACTAGACATCTGACTAGGATCATGGGCACATTCCGCTGTGATGTAATTCATCTCCTATGGCTTTAAGATGAAAATAACATGATTTGCATATTCTGTTGACTGCATGCAGTGAAAGGTTCCGTATGATAATGATGTACTGGTGATGGTCAAACATTATTCCAGCGACAAAATAATGATTTCCTATTCAAACATATAGTAATTATACAGCGGTTCCCAATCACCCTTGCCTTTTTATGGGTAATCTGCCGCGCTGAACATGTGTTATAAGTTACTTCGCTTGCTGTCTCAGTTACACATGAGCTTTATGAAAGAGTAATATTGCTGTACAACCAACAAACCAGCATTCGTGAACCAGATTAATTAATTACCAATTGTGTGAACAATAGTTTCAGATTCATCCGCTGCAGTGACGAAACCAGAGAAAACGCAACAAGATGATCCAATAGTGTCTGAAGATGTCAACACACAGAACATGTATGAAAGCCTAACAAGTGTCGAAATGCACATATATAGGCGTCTAAAATAGAACTGAATGTAAATATACAGATGTTTAATTATATATATTTGACAATGCTTGTTTGAAAAGTCAGCTAAAAACACAATCCATTGTTTGTGAGGCCCCTCACAAACACACCTATAGCCCAGTCAAGACGAATGGAAACGTTTCGAAAGTTTTATTGAGGTTTCGAGTGTAAAAATTAGGATCAAACAAATTGTCAGCAAGAATCGCGTCCCTGGTTCAGTTGATAAAGCTTCTGACGGAGATGCGGAAAGTCGGCCATACCAGAATGACGTCAAAAGTATCTTTATTTACCTGACTTGTACCCGGTAGTAAGGACAAAATAAACTCTAATCGGCTCGCTGTTTATACACTTTGTATGTAGTGTGTCCATGTTAAACTGCAGCATTGTATATGAGTGAACTGGCACTATAAAACCAGCATTCATCGCGCAGCCACAGACATGTACACCCGAAACCCTTTTCTATAGTGTAGGTCCGTCATATAGCTCTAATATTGTTGCGTGGGGCGTCAAACAACAATGCAACTATAGTGTAGGGAAGTGAAAGCTTTCAAACAGTTTCGTTGTCCCTCCATGACAAACTGTAGCATGTCTGTTGACTGCTCATAATACACGTAGGTTCGGAAGTATTTCCTCCTTTTAAAATAGGTTGCAATAATAAATGTTAACCCATCAGCAAATGTCAAAACGACATCCAGATCGGCAACCTAGTGAAATTGATATCCAGAATCTCGTGTTAATAATTGTGACCATTTTGTTTGTGGACATAATTACATAAAACTTTTCTTGGTATAAAGCAGCAGTAGTCACATAACAAACAAATGTTTAGGTGTTTGTGAATGAGTCAAAACTGTTGAAAATCAATTTGAAAACAATCTAAAACGTTTGCAACATCTATGTTCGTATTTGTGGCAACGTTTAAGCAACGCTGGAAGGATAGCTGTCTCCAAACTTGGATCAGTGATATTGGTAGTAGGTCTTTCTTAACTTAATTCATCGTACAAGTTCGTTTTGGAAATATAAGTGTATATACTTGCGTTGTACAGTAATAGAGACTTGAGGCGCATTTTATGTAAATTTTGTTGCCTATCGCACTAATTGGGTGTAAAACAGTTGCATTTCAATAAAGACAATGTATTTAATACTATAGTAATATGTATCAAGTGTCATTTAGATGTCGTAGAAGACGAATACCACTTTCTATTAGTATGATCTTGCTGCCATACAAGGAGGATGCGGTTAATCCTGGCTACTATCATATAAATCCATCTGTATTTAAGTTTAAGCAGCTGTTATGCACAAAAAAAAGAATGTTATTAAAAGCTTAGCATTCTACCTTAAGATAAACGTACCTGTTTGCTATACATTGATGCATTATATTTATGTATATGTATTATATGCGCACAAACAATAAATTATGAATTTGTGTACTCTGGGCCATGAGGCCATTATGCGAAATCAACTCTCTCTCTCTCTCTCTCTCTTGATATCCACGCAATCCTACGCTGCCATAGGTGTAGCATTAATTGTCATGCATTTGAAAGTGTTTGTTTTCATTGTGATCATATTGATCAAAAGTTCCATTGCCTTTGTCATATATATGTTCACAAGCGCATCTTTGTTGGCGTCACTACATTTACAGTGGTACAGTTAAGGGAAAAGTTTATGTACAGAATCATACACTCCTTATCAATACTAGAGGCGATTCCCCGAGTCACTCTTCCTTGTACATTATTCAGCTTGCTCAGATATCTGCATGATATGTGCACAGTACACACTGTGCACAATGAAAGTCACAACAAACCAATAACTAGTATGCGAGATTTAATGCATGTATATGTGGCCTGACATATTGTGTGTCATGTTCGATGACAAGCTACACGTGAACACTGGAGCATGCCGGCTTCTAAACGAATGATAAGTATAGGTTTCTAGTCGTCAGCTTGTATCACAGTATAATGTCAATGGCGTGGAACAATAGGTTGGAAATTTATTTAGTCGGAGAAGATACTGTTGATTTCACCTTTTGAATCTCACTCAGAGCCAAAATTAACATTCGTGTATCAGATTTATTTGGTCCAATGTCCTCAACATTCATTTTCGTATATGACTTTTCCATAAAAGTGATTTTGCTGCAGCCAACGTTTAATATTTTTAAAAATCTTCTGTCTTTTAATCTTTTCATAAAAGATAATGTCTAGGACCAGGATTGACTTCTATGTTACCAGACAGCCACAACCCATAACGTATGATCAATCACAACATTCCAATTTTATAACTGTAAAACAGAAAGCTAGCAAGGAGTCGATAGCCAACGTACACGGCGGTGTCTGCTTCGTGTATAACCTGTAGCTGCCAAGATAGTGGATCTGTCCATTACAGGTGTCATCACTTACAAAATCGATAGTGAAACGACTCAGTGTAAACATCGTATGTTTGAGATCTTTTTTCTATTAGTCTTGTGGGTAACGTTCTGATTTTGTACGTAGAGATGTACATATGAAACAGATGAGACCGTCCCATTGACCCTATGCATTTGTAGTTGGGTGGATAAATCAATCATTGACCTCATGTGTTTGTAGCTTGGTGGATAAATCAATCATTGACCTCATGTATTTTTAGCTTGATGGATAAATCAATCACTGGCCCACCGTATGTACAGCATAGCGTAGGAAAGCATAGCATAGCACAGCACAGCACAGCATAGCATAGCACAGCAGCATAGCAGCACAGCACAGCACAGCACAGCATAGCATAGAATAGTTTGTGGGTATATCAATCATTAACCCTATGTATTTGTAGCTGGGTTGGTAAATCAATCAAAGGTAATTGGTGATTGGACTATTATTGAACATAAAGTCGACAAGATTTATAGATTAACTGTTTGGGGAAAAATACAGCGATATCAACGCTTCTTTACAGTAACGTATCATCTCATTGTAGGTCGAAGTGATGTAGGTATTAGATGTGAACCACATTCGTGGAAATATGACCACTGGTAAGATTCTAGCATATTGTCCTCAAGAAATCACATAAGTATCAGTAACCCAGCACAATGTCAATATCTGGTGTAGTCTCTGTCTACTACAAACCATTCCCGAAACTCCTCCTCATTGACAGTGTCAGACATTGAATTTGACGTTGAGGTATCGTTCCATACTTGATGGAGGGCCTGGTCCAGTACATCAAGATGTTGTACTGGAAAAACCCTCTGGCGTATTCTGTGACCTGAACATGCTCTATGGGATTGAGATCTGGACTACTGGCGGGACACGGTAAAGCTGTTACCGCCTGACTTAAGGAATCACCAACGCCACGTGCACGATGTAGCCTTGCATTGTCCCCCAAGAGATCACAACAGTAATCGACTTTCATGTGACTTTCCTAATGACATCAGTTTCATGACAAGTTAGTCACAACCAACAGCTCTTGCAATAACCCACATACCGATAACGTGCCAGCTTTGAGCAGTTGTCATTTGAGGAGGCCCCATGTTTTTATCAACATGTTTTTGTCTCTGTTTATAATACCTGTCCACCTATGTTGAGAGATGTCGTGCCGATTTGTAAGAAATAAACAATGAAAATAAAAATAAAGAATCATAGGAGAGTTCATTTTGGAATGATCATTTCGAACCAGTCATTTATACAAGTATGTAATTTGGACAACGACCTATATTTGTTGCATTGTCATCGTGGCAGATAAAACTACTGGGTTTTGAAATGTGTCCAACAGAAGAATGTTACCCCATGCTAGAGAGTTTTGTTCCTGTTATGTCATAGTTTATGGATACCAACGGTACACGAATATGCATCGAGTTGCAAGGTCGCACTCACGAAATGTAATAAGTTATGCATAATATTTGTCACTATTGTCCTTCCCAATTTCTGAAATACCACTGGAAATAGTTAATGCTTTGTTCTTAAAATTTAAAACACTTCAGATTTGTTGCCTAATTCCCACACTCACTCAATGTGAAACACAAGATCTATGATCTACATGTATGGCTTCATGTAGGCGCAGTAACAGGGACAACAACCGGAACTGTGATATTCAGACGTAAATCCACTGTGGCTGTGAGGCTAGGTCACACTGATATGTCACGTTGACATAACCAATAACTGACTGACTGAGTTTGGTTTTACACCGCTTTTAGCAATATTCCAGCAACATCACGGCGGTGGACACCACAAATGGGCTTTACACAATGTCCCCATGTGGGGATTCGAACCCAGGTCTTCGGCGTGACGGGCGAACGCTTTAACCACTAGGAAGCTGAGATGATACTTTAGACTTATGAGAACTTTGTTCCTGTGAGTCATGATGCTCAAGCGAAGAAGAAATGTTGGGATAGCAATAATATGCACGCTCATTTAAACAAAACTATAGTTAAACGGTATTACAACACATTAATAAATAAACATATAGAGGCTATAATTGTTACAAATATCCACCATAGTTTGTTAAGACCGCTGTTTTATGAGAGTTGTTGTTGATGAATTCAAATTGTTATAGCATACTGCCCTTCATCAGCAACAACAAACTCCCTAGGTAATACAGTGGCACATTGTTATCTGAATACCTTTGTCACAAAGACACGAGGTCCACTGCTCACGTCACGGTATTATTTTTATGTTTTCGAAAATCTATTTCTTGGTGATGAAGTGGAATGTCATCTTAAGGTAACAGGATTTGTGGTTTATTGATGGTATGTGGAAATGTGTTTGAATTATATCTTCATGTTTTTTTGGTCTCGAAAGCGCAATTTTTAGCATTGACTTTCGGTTTCCAATCGAGAAGGTCATTGTTTAGTCTCAACTATTTGTTTGGGACAATGTCAATGTCTGTGCCGATGTCACGCGATCATTTCTTGTCCTCGGCACCTTGACTGGGAGGCATTTTGTTTCAAATCTTTGTGAAATGTTCTCTGATTGGGCTCAGCTTTAATTACATGCATATTAAGTTTTCAAGTAGTTTGTTTCATGTTGATGCGGCTACCGCTAACTTGGCGAGCCCAGTCTTGACTTAATGGAATTTATGTGTAACCGTTTTATTTATATGTGTTATTGTGTTAAGCAAACTTTAAATAATTCACTCCAGACAGACACCATACTCTTATGAACTCCGCTGAATGAAATATGCCATGGAGTTATTTCCCTTGGACCACAGACTCACAGAATTACATTGAGTGACAGCTGGACCCAACAGACAATGTTTACGTCATAGATAAACAACATCCATCCATCCATTCATCCATCCATCTTTCTATATATTTATCTTTGGATGATTGGTAGATACAGACAGCCACATGCAAAGCTTGCAAGCTAATATTTTGTAATTGCATGTTGACTTTTCACTTTATATTAGCCACAGGGATTTTTCGCAAGCATGGAAAATTTGGTTCTTTTGCGGTTTCTTTGATTGACGCCACTCAGCTTCAGTTAGTTTTCTACGCCTTTTCTCGGAAAGGGTTTGTAGTTGTGGCAGTTTATATTCGGCTTCGAAGGCTGTGGAAAGATCGAGGGTAGATTCTGTCATACATGCGTTCGTCAAATGTGACTTGCACTACTAAGATGTAGCAGACGACAGACATTGTCGTCGGTTAAATGTGTTTAGTTGTGAAAGATAGTGTGTCTTCTAGTGTATGAATTATTCTTCAAGCGACGGAATACTAATGTGTGTGACATAAAAAGGAAAGGAGAAATAGATCAATTGAAGTTTCCATTAATCGATGAAGCTTGTATTGGATGCTATACTGAACATTAGGAAACACGATATCGTATCTCAAAAAGTCCGCTTGGGGGCGTTTTCTTGGAAACACAGATGCAAAACACAAATGCTTTACAGGTCTAATCACTTTCCCCTCATTTACTACATAAACATGACACTACCATCCCGTCACAGCATTCTATACCTGACTTGCTCCAGTTTCCTGCCGTGAACCAGGTCACACTGGGTTAGTGTGATCTACTTCCTGGTCTATTTACAGTATCAGTATAACTACACACAAGACTCATACACTGTACAGACATAATACAGACAATGGTTGTTCAACACATTAGTCGTGTTGTTGTTGTTACCCACAGAGGCATTTCCCAACAGGTTCGCCGAGGTGTAGAGTGGCATGGCTGTCGTGAAAGCTATGTACATGTACTACATATGTATATGTACATGTAGAATATATACTGGACAGCAAAGAAACGCAAATTTCGAAAAAATGAAATGTGTATGGAACGTTCATGGTAAAATGACGTAATTATTCCAAATGAGATGCTGTCATGCAGTTTGACGTCCATACGAAACATTCGCACAAACACAACCACAGTGCAGCAAAACTATAACTTCAGCACGTGCATTGACGGTTGGTAATCATGCATGTCATTCTGAGGTATCCTATGTAAAGTCTGTGTCAAAAACAGTCCAGTTTTGACGCTAGGAGGTGAACACGCAACACAAACGAAGCCTAGACTGACGACTGTGCAGAGGGGACTGACTTTTGGAATGTTGCAAGGAGGTAGCTCTTCTTCCGCTGTAGCTAGACAATTGGGCTGTCATCTTACCACCATCACACGACATGCTCGTCGTCATCAACAAACTGAGGCTGTTGCTGACCGGTTCATCCGGGTCACTAATGTTAGGAACAGAACTCAAGCAGCAACAGTAACATCAGCCTAAGGTCAAGAGTAGCCGTGTACAGCGATACGATTAGAAGTCGTCTTCTGGCTTCTGGAATTCACTGCCGACGACCATAGATGATGCCAGTTTTACACTGGACCCATCACCATCACCGTTGGCAAGATGTGCAGTGGCCTCACGTTGCCTTTTCTTATGTTTACGGCCGTTTACGTGTTTGGCGTCGGCGTAATGACCCTTACGCCGATCGTTGTGTCAGACAGGTAAACAGACGGGGTGGTGGCATTGTGATGGTCTGGGGAGCGTTCAGTTACAATCACAGGTCCCAGTTTCATGTCTTCTGACATCACGTAACTGATGTTGTGTACAGGGATCATGTTCTTCATCCTCATGTCGTTCCCATGTTTGCTGTACATCCCCAATTACAATTCTTTCAACAGGACAACGCACGTCCTCACGCAGCAAGGGTGTCGATGGATTACTTGGCTCATAACAACATGAACGTTCTTCCATGGACGTCTCTTTCCATCGATATCGCTTCCATTGAACATGTTTGGGACCAAATACGATTGCTGCAGGTAGACAACCACTCACACTTGCATAGTTGGAACAGAGATTGGTATTCGAGTGGAACAACTTGGGCATTCTTTCAATGAGGCGACGTTGCACGGCCTGTGTAGAAGCTCAAGTGGCCACATACGCTACTAAAGAGACTGTCACTTTTCGCGTTCAGGGGTATCTCCTTTTGACGGACTGTGATTCATTTGAACTTATTGCAATGTAATGTAAACAGCAACTTTCAGGTGTTAAATTGACAGTGTCTTTTATGGAACAAGTGGTTCGATATAATATTGGTTGTCTTCTATTCAGAAACATAACAAAAACCCAGACTTGCCTTTCTTCTGTCATCAAATGAAGATGTTTTCCAGCGTATGATATTTATGGGCACATCCATGTATAGATCTTTCATGTACTTGCCGTCAGGGACGGAGAAGCATACGCAAACCCTTATCCTAGCACAACAGTAAGGGAACAGCCATGTGAGTGATGTAAGTGTGAATAGGCAGTTGAGGGGATCAGGATTTCTGCAGTAAATTTCATTATTAATTGTCATAGACCTGTATTATTACAGTGAGCTGGCGAGTGAGCTAGTGAATTAGTAAGTAAGTGTGAGTGAGTGAAAATAAAATAAAATTCAGTCATCCAACTTACGCTGGGTTAGGGACGATTGTAGTCATCATTACGGTGGGTAAGTTAAAATGTTATTATAGCTACAAGCACCATCGGCCCGCCCACCCTTTGCTGCATCCAGCTAGGCATCCTTGGCATTCTTTTCAAACGCCGTCATCTACCTTCCCTCTGTAGGCGGACACCTCAGCTAGGACATAAAGAGGTGACTTCCAGTTACGACCGTAGATCCTGCCTTCCTCTGCCTTCTTCTACATCCCTCTGAAGGCAGACACTGTGTTGTTCCTCAGCTTGATCCAAAAGAATAGATTTCAAATTACCCTGGACTCACAGATCGTTCACACGGCTGGTGGTCTGGAAGATCTAGTATACCAGGAACCAAGTCCCGCGGAGCAGTTTACAAGTGTATGTCATTCTGGACTACATGAAGGAATACACCTTTAACACTTACATCAAGACCATCCACCTCTTCGTTCATCAGAGCAACAATAGCCTGTCCAATCACGCTCATAGACATGTAAATGACGTGTACGAGGATAATACAGTCGCCTGGTCTGCGATTATAGTCAGATGTTTCTCTCTCTTCACTTCCCGGTGGAGCAAGCCTCAAACGGTACCTCCCCGGCTCCGTTTGATAAACCTGTTCCTGGCAGAGGGAATATATGCCCTGAAACAGAAGCAGATATGGTTTGGGTGAAAAATATGGTGATCATAGCTTGAACAAAGTTTTAAAGTTTTCTGGCAATGTTTTATTGCCGAGTGCTGATGTGCTGATTCGACTACTAGTTGCATATCTTGAGATGCATTTTCTTGGGCTTTCTAATACACTATCTAAATTTAAATTCTGATGATGGGGTACAAGTAATACCTGTTACAGCATTTGACGGAAGACCGTCACTCGTTGGAAGTGTGTATACATTTAAAGACGTGTAGAGCTTGACTCTCAGATTTCTTTGTCCAAACCGCATTCTAAACGGCTCCCTATTAACACAAATATTTCAAACACAGAGTGTCTCCTCATCTTTCCGACAAGGTATGGCATGCATAGGTGTGGCATAAGACAGCGTTCCAAAATGGAATGGCCCAAGGTGTATGGCGGGTTTTTTAAATTCCGTCAGCTGTATAACGGCCCTTCTAACAGCCCTTCTAAAAATATTAGACGCATATTCCTATATGCATAGCGCGCCTATACATAGCAATAACCACCCTCCACAGGGCTTTCAATAGGGAATTATAGCTATGAATAAAGCGACATGCCGTCAATTATCTGTTGTTGTTGAAAAAAGTACTATAACTAAATATGAACAAAGACAAGTTGGTCAAAAGGCCATCTTGGCGTCTCAGTTTGGTCTTGTCTTCGTTTTGGAATTCATATGTGGCTATAACTGTTTATCAGCTTACCGACAAGGTACAGCATTGTTGCGACAGACGTTACAAGCTGTAACAGATCTATTTCCGGCCACCAGTAGAAGAAGACATTCAGAAATAAACAATCTATTATAGCGGCCTGATTGCCCAACGATGGAAGTAGGTGAAAAGAAAGGAACGGAGCTCTTTTGGTCAGCTATCCAACACCGAATAGCATGTTACTCAATCGAAACACACGCACATGCGATACAGATCTGGTTAGCTATCGAACTGTACAGGAACAAATATGTTGTTGCATGTGTATGAATACGTACATATGGAAAGACTATGTTCCTGTTCTATGACTACCACACCAATACATCACGTCGAGACACAAATATACCGGTTGAAGAGATAATCTGGTATTTTAAAACAAGTAAGACCGGTATTCAAATTTAGTAAGTCATTGGAAACACAAGGTTACACACTCAGCTACGACACTTGATGTATGTGCATACATAGCTACTCCCACTGGCTGTGAGCTGCGAACTATGTGAGAAAGAAATCATATTGATCCTTGACTCAACCTAAATAACGTTTCACATCCTGGTCATGTTGTATATACAAGGTAATACTACTGTACGATACTGGCCATGTATGTAGCTGTTGGCTGTGTTTTGTTGAAACACAAGCAGACTGCAGTGTGTGTTACTAGAGCCCGTGTGTTTTGTTTCAATACGACGTGGATGCTGTCAGTCTAAGACACCACACGAAGGTAGGAATGATATACAAGAAGACTTAGACTGGAACGTGTGACGCTACAATGGAGATCTGGAACACACTGGTCTGTGTGTGGATAGGCGTTATACATGGTACTGTACACGATAACGGTGAGTATGAGCGTACATACCTTTCAAATGACTAACAACTCACAAATAAAAACTGGGATACTTACACATACAAGTTGTTATTCCGTTTTGAATGGAATTTGTTGAACTCTCAATGACACCTGACGTCGTTTACGGCATATGTAACGGAAACTACATACCCACCATGTGTTGTTTGCTCGTCACCCCGGGTGTGATTCCCCACAGGGATCCAATGGGTAGAATGTGTGACTGTCACAGGTGTCCCAGCCGCGATGGTGGTGGCACATTGCTCAAAACACCATCAGACTAGACTAACAGCTAGTCTCTGAAATGAACATTATTTTACAGAAAAAAAAGGTTTTGGAATAATAATATAATACAGTGAAAGGCAACCCAGAGACTTTCCTCATTTTCAGAAACTGTGGTTGTCTAGACTTGCCACACATTCTAAACTTGCATGGCCTACATGGGACATATTTGTTTCAGGGTCTGTATGTCAGGCTACCATCAGACCAACCCAATCACTTATCTTCTATTACGGACCCGTGAAGATCCAGGTTAAAATTCATCTTCAGCAACCCATGCTTGTCGTAAGGGGCCACTAACTGGATCGGGTGGTAAGGCTCGCTGACCTGGTTGACACGTATCATCGTATCCCATTTGAGTAGGTCGATCCTCACGGTGTCAAGCACTTGATTGTCTGGTCCAGCCTCGATTAACAAACCGACTTCATAAGATTGGAACAGTGCTGAGTGCCGGGTTCAAGAATAACCAAACAGTCAAACCTTTCATTAGTCACATTGATGCATTGCTATATGTTGATGTAAGGACATGTAACAGGGTGAGCGTTATCTTGTTATTTGATACTGGAATGATACTATAGAAGGAAGGTTTACATGGACATATCATCGACGGTGTTGTGATAACCCCATTCAATTAACCTGGTATCACAATCAGATGAATATGTGAATGAAGTCAACTAACGAAGATGTTTAATTCTCACCAAAGTCTTACACAATGCATCTTTATTTGTACATATATGGTATGTACCAAACTGAAACATGCGACGAAAATAATACATATTTGATGACCCACCTATACATGTAAACGTGCAGTCATGGAGGATATATGGGTGTTTGTCTTACCCTGATTGTATCCACGAATACATAACATCTGCGCAATAGCAATAAATGTTGCTAAAATTTTGCCTGTTACACAAAAGGAAAATATATCTCCTATTTCACTTGCGTAAAGATATTCACGACCTGAGTAAACGGAATCATACAACGTCGATTAGTTTGATTGTCTTCTTATCAACATTATCAGTGTTCAATAAATATATGAGGATGGGGATTTATAAGCCGGTGAGACATTGAGCTATAGAACACAATCTGTTCAGCAATTGTATCATTTCATCTGAAACAGATGCAATGGTTCTCAAGTGTAGGGGTTTCAAAATAATTACATTAGGGAGAAGTGGTATGCCATGTGCACCGTGCCAGGAGACACATCACGATTCTTGGTTAGAGTATCAGTGTACAATGCCACACACCGATTTATTGTACTGTGGTTGTAACATATGTTGATCAGAATAGGGAAGTTACTATTGATAAACGTGGTTGAGGAAATGACACAGGACAACCACCAACGTATATAGGATAGTCTGGACGTGAAACTTGAATGGTGGTTGCTTTGCTTCCACAGTTAGATTCGTACTGACGAGCTCACCAGTAACAGCAACAGATGGAGAACTCTTCACCTTGATCTGTAGCGTCTCTTCTGGCTCTGTGGTAAACATAATATGGATCCAGAACAATACAACAAAGGTCCTTACGCAGCATAGCAACAGTTGTATTAAGCAACCATCCCCTATGGGGAATTATATCAACCGTTTCAGTGTGAGCTGCAATGACACGGTCCACAGTATAGACTTTATGTTCAACTCCACTACAGACCAGGGAGGATGGCAGTGTGGGAAGTTTGTAAACGACACCTACATATACCCGAGAAGCAACATTCATAGTGTAGGTGGGTATGACGTATTCACTGTGTTTGATTTTATATATATTACAATACTGTACAATTGTACACAAATTAATAATCGGTGACCATATACTTTTAACAAACCCCTCAAACTGACACCGATGACAGTCACGTGCTCAGTCATTACAAATAATAAGATTCACGTATATGGATGGCTATGGTCTCTAGCCTGATTGCCAAGGCTCATTGTTTGAACAAACACAAACTCCCGTCTCTCAGGTAAGGAGGAACATGCCCAAACATCAACCCAGTGACTATTCTGCTTTCAGTAGCTGCAAGGCATGTTATATCAACTCAGACTTCGTCAACAACTATCCGGTATACGGAGACTACGTCCGAACCTGGGACAGTGACACCACAGGAAGGTATACCTATTTAGCAATAGCACCTTCTTAGATTTACATATCGCACTCAGGATAATTACAGGGTAACCAAAGACTGACCAATAGAATAAGAACAGTTTATACAGTTAGAATCGGATCTGGTGTATGACTTAACATTATCATACACATATGCATCAAACTCCATACGGTCCATATCTGGTGTCCCCCGCCGTGATATTGCTGGAATATTGCTGAAAGCGGCGTAAAACTAAAACTCACTCACTCACTCACCATACGGAAGAGTTACAAGAAAAATTCTCTCTGAGATGTTCATGTCGTACTTAAGATATCTAGACTGACAACAGGAACATCAATAGATTACAAGGATGGTTGGGCGTGAATCAGTGAATGAGTGACTTTACGCCGCTTTTAGCAATATTCCACCAATATAACGGCGGGGAACACCAGAAATGGGCTTCATACATTGTACCCACGTGGGGAATCGAACCTGGCTTTATATATATTAACCACCAGGCTACCATATCGCACCTGTGAATCAGTAGTGAGATTAGTACATATACATATTAGTACACGGTCGTTTCACTGGTGAAATGCTTAATTGATCGCTTAAATGGGTTTAGAATTTGAAATTCTCTATGAAGACATAGCTTTCAGGAATACTGTCTCACTCTGTGTGTTTTTGTACATAAAACATAACGACAAAGACTGGGTATTATAGATCAAATAGGCGTTGATTAATTCCCATTTAATAACGTATTACTTACAACAAAAGTTGCATGGAGCTGCGCATGTTGCAGCGTCACAGTAAGTAACGATATGACTATCGTTATATTGTAACTCCTCATTGTTTGTAGTGTCGACATACCCAGTAATATTCCAGCTCCAGTATGATATTGTCAGAAATGTCCCAATGATAAGTAGATAAGATCTATTCGCTGTGATATGTTGCAAGCTGGGCCAGTATTCCAGCTAAATAATACTGTGGTATGTTAGATATACGATGATATGCGTGAAATGCATCTGATGACTCTGTGGTTTTGACCCTGTAATCATCAATTCGCACCGATCTATTTGCTTTGGATGCTCCCTCTTGTGCACGAGGACTTTACCTAAGCATCACAACTTGTACGTCTTTCTGCACAGTGCATTAAAATATACTCATTCAATCACTTCCCGATATATTCCGCTCTTTTCATTTGGCACGCCTAACATGTCAAGCCGTGTCCTCAAATATCCTAGACTAACCAGGATGTTATTTTAAAGTCCTTTACTTTACACTCGCCTACATCTGGACATACTGCACACATATAACCTCCCATGTGAACATTCTACGTTTGAGTGTACCCTGAACGAACACTGTCTTTCAGTCGCCACAGATGTCGGTGATTCAGACACCATCTACATCGTGGTTGGTGCTGTAGGTGGAGCTGTTCTGCTTGCCGTCGTTGTCGTGGGCATCATATGTATCCGACGTAGAAGAGAAGGAGCACGTGTGTATTTGTGTTGGCCTTTCACATAATTCTTGTTAAACCTTTGACATTAATTATGCACAATTACTTAAATCGTGGACAGTTGAACCATTTACAATACACTGGAGGCGTTCCTCCTTCTAAATTTATAACGTTTGTTATGGGAAATGGTTGATAGCAGAATAGGACATTAGGACTACATTTGGAGATGAAACCTGACTCCGAACATCTTTCTTCCAGATCATCAAAATGACATGAAACAAGAAAGACATGTTGAAGCGTAAGTGTAACTCATATTTTCGAACCACGCGTATAAACACACGCAATCACAGACACACCCAAACAGATTCATGTACAGAAGGTATCATCACCTTAGTTCTCATGGGCTCATTCAGGACCTGCAGGCACACCCACCCACACATACACAGGCAAACATATGACGCTAACATACACACACCTCCTGCAAACAACACGAACATATACACACATATTGATACTCAGATATGTACATTAATTCTTTCGCTCATTTTCATTCCTTCATACACACGCACAAACCAAACCCACTGACACCTCACCACCTCCTGTTCCGCCGTAAACGGTACTTCTTTCTTTTCAGCACGCCAGTTTATCAAAACACCATAAGCTTCCACACGGGTATGTTTTTATAATGATTTTATTGTCATTGTATAACGCGGTGATAAACTAATTGACTTTGGAATCATCCTGTAGATGGCATCTATGTAACGGGACCTCATTCCAGAGCATTGTTCCGATGATAATGATGTACTTGTAACAATCAAACATAGAAGCAAAAAACCCTTTCCCATTCCCATAGTAATTATACAGCGGTTCCCAGTAACCCTTGCCTTTTTATGGATAATCTTCCGCGCTGTACATGTGTTATAAGTTACTTCGCGTGCTGCCTCAGTTACACATGAGCTTCATGAAAGAGAAATATTGCTGAACAACCAACAAACCAGCATTCGTGAACCAGATTAATTACCATGTGTGAACCAACAGTTTCAGATTCATCCGCTGCAGTGACGAATCCAGAGAATACGCAACAAGATGATCCAATAGTGTCTGAAGATGTCAACACACAGAACATGTATGAAAGCCTAACAAGTGTCGAAATGCACATATATAGGCGTCTAAAATAGAACTGAATGTAAATATATAGATGTGTAATTATATATATTTGACAATGCTTGTTTGGAAAGTCACACCTATAGCCCAGTCAAGACGAACGGAAACGTTTCGAAAGTTTTATTGAGGTCTCGAGTGTCAAAATTAGGATAAAACAAATTGTCAGCATGAATCGCTCCCCTGGTTCAGTGGATAAAGCTTCTGACGGAGAGCGGAACGTCGATCATACCAATATGATGTCAAATGAATCTTTATTTACCTAATACTCGGTAGTAAGGAAAAGATAGACACTAATCGGCTCTGAGTTTATCCATTGCATATGTAAGCTATCCGTGTTACACAGCGGCATTGTATATGAGTGAGCTGCTACTATAAAACCAGCATACATCGCAACCACACACAAGCATGTCTGTCTGTTGAAAACCATCATCTGTAGTGTAGGTCCGACATTTAGCTGGAGTATTGCTGAGTGCGGCGTTTAACAACAAACCGGCTATAGTGTAGGGCCGTTAACTGTATACGTTAATTTGTCATTTCTGCAAAACATGTGTGTTTACTGTTCATAATGTTCGTACTTTCGGAAATATATCCTACTATTAAAATAGCTTACATTAATGTTTTTATGTCAAAGCGACATCCAGAAAGGCAACCTAGTGAAATTGATATCCAAAATCTCATGTTCATCGTTGTATAACCATTTTTGTTTGTTTTCATTATATAACCTTTCTTAGTATAACGCAGCAATTGTCATATAACAAACACACGTTAGGCTGCTTTTAATGGGTCAAAAACTGTTGACAATCTATAACGTTTGCAACATCTGATGTTCATAGTGTATACATTTGTATGTGGTACTTGAGATCCACACAGTAATACCCCGTCGTAGTTGTAGTCTTAATTACATGCATTTGAAAGGATTACTTTTCGTTGTGATCATATTGATCAAAAGTTCCATTGCTTTCTGCTGTACTATGTTCACTGGGTTGTTTTCCTTTGCTAAGGACAATACATTGACATGTAGTGGTACAGTTGGGGGGAAAGTTCATGCACAGAATCATATACGAGGCGGTCGCTTTGACACCTTGGCCACCACCGTCCCCTGTTAACGTATTTTGAATAAGTGCAAACTTACGTAAGATAAAGTTATTCGTTTTCCAGTATTTGTACTGTCAATCTCCGAAGTGAGGCATATTATTACGACTGTAATTAACAAGTCTCATCTGTAAATATATTTTTGACATTTTGGCTAGATCAAACCACCGCCTGCTCTGTCAGCTGTGCGGTGTTCCGTATGAGATAACAACTGTCGTATGCTCATCTGTAATATTATCAAAACTTACGAAACATTAACTTCCTTCGAGGAATTATACTTTTTGATTTTGATTATAAACGGTCTGTATATCCCATTCTTATACCACTCATCCCATCCCAGCTTCCGGCCATTCATATATATATCACACTCCTTTCCTAATATAACAAACAGATCCGTGGAAACATGGGTTGGAACTTATCTTCACCAGCCTATACGGACATCTATACGGAATGCCGTCATACAGTCGAAATATTGTTGAGTGTGGCATGAAACTAGAAACAAACATATTTTCCAGAACAATGATCAGTTAATAATCACTCATACCTTGCCTTGAAAGTTATATTTTGTATTTTACCAGCGGTGTTATGATCCCAATGATCATATATGGCACACTTTTGCTGCGCAAGAATTAGCAGGTCATTGACGTGCATCAGCTATGGTTCTACTCGCACATGACGCTGTGATACAGTTGGTTTTCTTGTAAAGCGATCCACTCACTCGTTATCGATTTCAATAGAGCCTTAACTGGTACTAAAATATGCGCATACCTTTTATGAAAAATGTTTAGAGTCAATAACCTGCATCCTTTTGCCTTTCCCCATACATCAAACTGACATGGTGTGACATGCTGATCGGCTTCATGCCCATCCCACTCGCTCATTAACACCATTCATCTTTGTTATTTTTCACATTATTTAATATCCGCGTAATACAATATATCCGGAAGTCAGTGAAACAAATTACATATAAGAAATGTGACTGTAGCTACGATAGTTAAATCAGACACCCCGCTGCCTTTATTCAGGAAAATTTAAGTCAAAACATTTGTGAACAAGAATGATATCTGATTCAGTTACTTATTTGAAATGGATTTGTAACAAAACGTTGTGTTTATTAAATGAATAGTTATCTCACTTTTACCCATTGTAGCATCACAAGCTGTTTCCCATTTATGCTTTAAATAGAAATGTTGGAATCAAATGAGTTTCCCATAATCATGGAAAGTGTTTCATCGCTTTTGATTGACCAGCATGGTATTGTATTCAGTTCCAAATAGGAATAAAGCTTGACATTGAATCAGAATGTCTGTTTTCGCAAATGCTGGAGATGATCATTGCAATTTCTTATTTCTGACTGTGCTGTGGAGACAGTGGGTTTATTGATTGAGTTACGTCAACATGTTTGAATCAGCTCTGAATAGTAAGTTCGTGATGAGAATAGCATTGGCAGATCAGAAACATGGCTGCAAGTAGGCTTTGTGGATAAAGTGCCATTGCATTTGAAAGTCTTAAATAGTCTGATAATAGAAAAGCAATAATTGTATTGCATGTACCAGTATAAAGAGTGTATTCACTATCTAATCGTCATTTGTCTTTCACCAATTATTGACAGTATTTGAAAAGCATAGCTCTATTGAATTTTAGGCTGATAGCCAACATTGACAGACGTAGTGCATAACAGCTTAACGTGAAGGGTATTGAACCATGTAATCTGTGATATTGTTGTGCCATAGTCTGTATCTGGGGGTTAATTAGTGTAGCACTTCATAATTCCTAATCTCAAAAATTCGTCAATTTGCAAAACTGGGACTAGAACCAATGGTATTGTTTCAACTAACGATATCAAAACTTGAAGGCGCGTTGTGATGTGTGAAGTATAAGAAATGGTCAAACTCGCAAGGTTCGCTGTACAATTTTCATCTTCAGGGTTACGTCTTTGAGATGATCTGAAACCCATCTCTAAGTCATTTCCATTTTTATTACCCACGTGGTCATCGTATTGGTAGTTGCATACTATTCCCGTACGTCACACACGTAGGTCGTATCGCGTTGACCTGTGTCGTAACGACTTGACCTGAGATTCTAACGATTTGATTGGATAACCGATGACCTCTCAATTAGGTCACATTCTGACGTAACTATTTTGTCATTCATAACGAACACGTGAATTCATTCCTTCTACAACTTAAATGCACTGTGGGAATGTAAACATTGCGAACGTTGCCGTGTCGCTGTTTAATTGTGAGTCGAACGCAATGTTTCCACAAGTGATGTTAGCCGAATGAAGCAACTGCAAACCAAGAAACGGGATGCTACGGAGTAGTTTACTGTAGGAGGCTGTACGAAGCGATGACAACTGACAGTTACCAAGGCAGTGACGTCATTACAGTGTGACGTCATGCAAATGTGGAATTCGCTCGGTCAGATACCATAGAAAGGACACTTGTTTCGTATAATTCGTATGTAATGAGACCTCGTGTAGTATTCTCTATATATGTCATTGTCTCGCATCCTCTGTCCTTCAGACTGACATTTACAACCATACCACGAATGTCATAACTTCCCAAATGATATAATTTACCTCAGATTCGTAGCATTCTGAATGTACACAGAACTCTACTGTATTCCTCAGTTATGACGAGTAGTACTTTCAAGCCTGAACGTTTACAAGCTTCCTATCAAACATTAAAGTTTTAATCTATGGGACATCAGAGTACTGGTCTTCATCAAATCATTCACTCAATGTCTGAAGAATGTATATTAGTCAATTGACACAAGAATATCCGCTGAGTTCAATAAAGCTTCTATGTTGAAATGTAAATTTGTTTCACTATACAGTTAATACAACCCTATTTGCAGGTTTTGTCTCGAAGAGATCCATCCTAAAGAGACGTATCTTTGTTTCACGTCGAATCATCGATCAATTCAGTCTAGACGTCATGGTTAGGGATCCTTCCCCATTCAAGTCTGTGATTACATACAGATACAGGATGATGTGCTTTCTAACGACCGCTATCAGATCAGGTTTACGATCCTTAGTGGTCTCTGTTCCCCAGTGCATTGTTCTGTTACTAGCATTAAGAAGCGAGTCACACAGACTATGCTAATTGAACGATGTGTTCAAAGAAAACAGGGCTGTTTTATGTCCTTATTTCTGAATTATCTTCCGTAATTTGATGGCGACGTGAACACCAGTAATTTTTGAGACAGTGTGTGTAAACATGATAATTACGACACCATGATAAAGTCTCATAAAATTTGTCATTTTGCTGGATTCATTACATTATGGGTACAGCTTCTTTAAAATGTACTTCCACAGCCTGGAATACTGCTTGCTGTAATCTTGAGAGCTGAATAAAGAGAAGATGATATATTATGTGATTAAATTCTAATGTATAATTAAGATAATGTAATCATGACTATGGAGTTGACTTTATTATTTACAGATGTGCATGCTTTACTGTTTGGTGTCTCCAGGTTTGAATTTGAATTGGCTTTCTAAATAAGACAGTAAAATATGCGTTGTGATTGACAGAAACGTAGATGGATTAAACATCTTCAATTCAGACAGGTATTCTTACAAAATGAGAAAACATTTCATAACCGTGTCAAGGAAATATTTAGAAAACAAAACTTTTCATTGTTTCTTCATATATTATTTTCTAAAAACGCATTACAATATGTTTGTTTTAAATTTTGAAAAATATTATGGACTTATATTTGCTATGTGGGAGCAACATCCATTCTGAGACAGAACCAGACTTAGACAGAACAGGAAGCTTATTGCAGAAGCATTTGCATTAGTGTAGAATTTGCCATCTTCTTTTTGTGTAAAGGGAATTAACTCTTGCCTCAAATATCACATGGCATCATACATTACAAGAAGACCAGAACTGATTGTGATGATTAAGCTGTTCTGGCAAGTTGAATTCCTGCTGCTGAGAGGTGAATATTCCGTCACTGTTCATATTACAGTCATCACTGTTCTGGCGTGAATTGCGTTTGAATTTGTATTGTCATAGGGATAATGTGTATTGATTTGTGAATTTAGCTAATTTTACAATACAATTATTGAAAGAATCCAATAGCTATGTTGTTCTTTTACGTATTGATTTCCAGTTAACATTTTAGTTTCAGCTTGTGAGTCACCACGTAAAGTATTCCTTATATTTCCGGATATCTGTGAACGTACCGAATGCGTTGAAACCAGATTTGTGGTACTGTCCTTTATTTGGTAGCATCTGATATCTGACATCACTGGTGCCCCGTCTTCCGATTCAAATCGCCAGAAAACAAATCTCATGGGATATTGTTCAGTTGCCTTATCAAATCAAGTCTCATGAATATTTAATGGATTGAGTCTGTATCTTCCCTGTCACTGAATACATTTAATTGTGAAGATTCATCATGTCCACACAACTGAGAAACACAAACACACTTTTCCACTTCCATGGCTTTATAACTAAAACCTAAAGTCCTTCATTTTGCTTCACTGGACGAGACCCGTGTAGG